CAACCACCCGAGAGGTCACGCCCGGCGCACAAAACTCGCGCAAGGCACGTGCAAGGCTGCGCAAGGCTGGACAAGGCTGAGCACAACGGGCCAGGAATACTACCAGTGTGGCCGCAGACTTGCCCGGATGGAGGCAGGGTTTTTTCTCGGGGGGCAGAAAAAGGGTTGTCAGTCTTGTTAGTTTTGTCAGTCGGCTCCTCGGGGTCATTTCGGTGCAATCTGTCCACAAAAACTCGTCGAACGTGCAACCTCACAGACCTGATAGAACTGACAGTTGCCTCTCGGACCCCAGGGCGGCAACAAGAATCTTCTAGAAGGGCAGGCTGAGGGGGTTGTCAGGCTTGTTAGGGTCGTCAGGTCGCAGGTTCGAGGCGTTTTGGTCGATAAAGTGCGCCAAAAGGATCCAGAGGAGCCGACTGACAAAACTAAAACTGATAGACCCGGCGAGTGCGAGTTCCGTGCTCTCCCTCCGGTCTGCCCGGGATGGAGGCGGGGTTTTCTTTTCTTGCGGGTGGGGGGAATGGACTGTCAGTCTTGTCAGTTTTGTCAGTCGGCTCCTCTGGGTCTTTTGGGGTACTTTACCTACTCGAAACGCGTGGAACATGCAACCTGACAGACCTGACAAACCTGACAGCTGCCTCTCGGACCCCAGGGTGGCAACAAGAATCTCCAAGAAGGCTAGGCTGGGGGGGTTTGTCAGGTTTGTCAGGGTCCTCAGACGGGGCTTGGGCGAGGATTTGGGCTTCTGTCGCAGCAAAACTGGCCACATGTGCAACGTGACAAAACTGACAGGCCTCTGGCCCGACCCGGCGAGTTCGAGTTGAACTCAGGACCTGCCAGGAATCGATGCCAGGGTACTTCTCCCGGCGTGACGTCCAAGCAAAGGGCAGGCCTCGTCCAGCAGCCCGACCTGAGCAGGTTGCAGGCTCTAACGGTGCAAACATGCACAACGACTCAACGCAGATCCGGAATATTTTAGCTCCAAGCCGGTGAAACAGTACTGCACGCGGAGGGAGCTGATAGCTCGAAACACCTCTGGACCTCCAAAACATCTCTTGAGCAAGGAGTACATCAGAGGATTAAAGGCCCATGTGCAGCTCTGGGCGGGGTGAGGTAGCTGCTGCCATCTGGCAGAAGGCACGTGATCTTTGCGAACGGTGTCCCTTCCGCGACAAGAGCCCCTGCTGTACGCATGCGTGAATTCCAAAGCTAGACGTGGGGAGCGAAGAAGTTCTCGGCGGCCTGCCTGGCCTGTCTGGCCTTCTGCTCCTCCTCAAGCTCCTCCTTCGTCTTGAGTCGCCAGGGATCAAATCGCCCAGGTAGAGCTTGAGCTCCTTCAGAAGTCCGTGAACAAGGAGGCGTTGACCTTGCCCTCCACCCGAACGCAGCGGGTCTTGATGAAGTCCTTGAACTGGTTGCCGGACTGCTTGGCAGCGAACTCCTTCTCCAGCTCCTCCATGGATGAGGGTTTTGGGATCAACTCGGTCCCTTCGTTGTAGCGGGACTTCAAGGTCGGGTAGAGCTCGCCCACGAGGAACAGCAGGGAGGCGTTGTAGTGCCCGAGGTTCACGCGGGCCTTGAGGTTGTCGTCGGCCTTCATCTCGTTGCAGTGCAGATCCTCCGTCTTGGCCGTAAATTTGACTCTCGTCTCCAGGAGCCGCAGGCGCCTGTCCCAGCCATTGTCTTCTGTAGCGGACGTCCGTTGAACTTGTGCCGGATGGTTGGAAGTGGCGATCAGCACCGATGTAGGGACAAAATCGCGTGGGGCTTTGTTCAACTTCCGAGCTGGCACCGGCGCACCGCCCTGCTCGCAGAAAGGCTTGACGAACTCTTCGTTCAAATCGGTGTGCCGTGGCACCTCCGATACCCAGACGGCCCGCTTGCGCTCCATGCGCGCCAACAGCGGGCTGGCATTCTCGTTGGCCGGCTGGCCACCGGCGACCAGATATCGCCCGGGCAGCATGACGCCCAGGTTGTCGACCCCCAAGCCCAGCACGGCGAAGATCAGGAGATTCAGGACGTCCTTTCCGGAGGATCCGCCCCCGAAGAGGTACAGCATCTCGCACAGGTGCTCCTCGCCCAGGATGCAGCGAGTGATGAAGCGCAGCACCCAGAGGATCCAGTTCCAGTCGATCGTCTCCGTCGTGACGCCGTCGACTTTCTCCCTCAGGATCGCATAGTTCTTCAGGACCGAGAGGACGGGGCACTTCTCCTCATTCAGCAGCCGCTCGAACTCCTCGATCACGAGCCGCCCGGGCTCATTTTCTTCCAGGGTCCTGGCCTTGGTTTCCAGAAAGTCCCGCACAAGCCGGCCGAGGCCGCTGGCGTTCTTGGGCCGCCACAGGTCAGAGAGGGCCTTGGCGACGAACCCCAGGCGATCCGAAGGCCTTGCTCGGCGACGCCGATGGGTAGCCGTGTCGGTGAAGTCCAGCAGGTAGCCATCACGGCACAGGAGGAGCCCGTTGATGCGCGCGCCGTCCAGCGACGGCATCGTGCGCTCGCCCAGATAGCCAAGGACACTTGACACCAGGCCGTGGGCAAAGTCCACGCGGTTGAAGGGCTTCGGGGGAGTCCAAGTCCAGGCGAGGGGGTGCCGGTTGATCTGCTTGAGCACCTCCTGAATCTGGCGGTGCAGGTACTCGCCGTGGCGTTCCACCCAGAAGCCCTGGCTTGTGAAGTACTCGTAGCTGCTGGATCTCTCGTCCAGCTTGTTGGGCACGTTCACCGTCTCGGACAGCACCTCGGCCACGTAGCGCACCAGGTCGGCCGTGTTGGCCCGCACCTCCCTCTCGCCCTGGACGGCGTAGCGGGAAACCAGCTTGCGCAACTCGCTGAAGGCGCGGTAGGGCATCCGCGCGACCACGTGCCAGTCGAACTCCGAGTACTCCTGGCTCGCGAACTCCCACGGCTTCGACAGTTCCTTGAGAGCCACCGCCACACCGGCACGCTCGGCTGCGTCCAAGACTCTCTGCGAGGCCTCCTCGAAAATGCACACTCCGTCGTGCTCGCCAGAGACCAGCTGCTTCGATCCCCGCGGCCTCGATCAGGATGTCCAGGAACCTGCGCTCCATGTCCTCGTACTTGGAGAAGGCCGCCGAGGCATCGGAGCGCTCCTTGAACCACTCCCGCTGCGCCGGCGTGAAGGCCCTGCGGATTTTGCGATGGAGGCACCGACACTCCGTCTGGAAACAATGCAAGGTCTTCATGAGTTCGCCGGCCATCGGGTCGTCCCTCCTCGGGGATGTAACCCAGCACATCCGAGCACCAGTTGGACAGCGACCCTCCGAAGCCCAGAGCGATGAACAAGCGCTTGGCCTGGTCGCGCTTGACCCCGAAGGCGTAGCAAACCTCTGCGAGGATCTCGTCCCGCCGGTCCAGGTAACGCTGCATGGCCTCGCCGGGGAGCAGCGGGACGGTCATCTGGAAGTAGGCGTTCACTGCATCGACCTCGACCAAGCCCAGATCTTTGCGGCAGACGTAGCGCACCAGCCGTGCGAAGCCAAAGGCGCTTTTCCCCACCAGACTCTCGTGAATGTCCAAGCGGAGCTCCTGCTTGAGAGGAGGTGGCAGCTTGGCAATGATGGAGTCCCGGACCTTGTTGTCGTCACCGTCCCCCTGGGAGCTCTTGCGCTTCTTCGTCGGCACGATGTAGGCCGGCAGGTGGATGCCCGAGTACCGGCGCGCCAGCATCCCCGGAGCCGCCTTCCCCTCTTCCTCGGCCACGCAGATCCACCCCACCTTGCCCTTGATGTGGCGGGCCCGCAACCTTATCGAGTGGAGGACGTCATAGAGGCCGAACTCGTGGAACCTGCGGACCGCGTCCAAG